TAATTTATCACTTATGTGTTTAAAATTAAAAAAAAACATTATTTTAATTTATTCTGTTAACCTTGTTCAAGCTTTTATTTTGATTATGCTTGTGTCACATTTACCATTGATTTTTATTTTTTTCAATACGATGTAGTTGCTGTTTTAGGTTTGTCCTGTTTGCAACTCAAATTAATTAAATAAATAAATAAATAAATAAATAAATAAATAAATAAATAAATAAATAAATAAATAAATAAATAAATAAATAAATAAATAAATAAATAAATAAATAAATAAATAAATAAATAAATAAATAAATAAATAAATAAATAAATAAATAAATAAATAAATAAATAAATAAATAATCGCATGTTATGAATTTTACATTGAAATCCCTATGATGCGTTACGCAAGTCACATGTATAGAGTGTTACATACCAGTATATACAACAAATTGGGCGGAAGAGGGGATCAAAACAAACATTTTTTCTATAAATAAATCGAGGGGTGCGAAAAAATTCTGATTTCGATGGAAGTTGATATCTGGGGGTTTTTGAAAATGAAAACCACGAATATGATATTAGTTTTTGAAAATTCAAAAAAAATTCCACTGCAATTCTTGGTCGAACAACGAAAATTGAGAGAACTCCATGAAATTCGTTGTGTACATGGAACAAAATTGTCGAACAGTTTCTTAAAATCACTTTTCAAACAAAAGTTATACTACTTACAGATTGGTCCTTGGGGTCAGAAAGTGTCCCCGCGTACTACACCTTTTCCAGATGTAGTTCAGAATTCGTCAACTTCATTTAAGAAAAGGTGAAATGTATTTCAGATTAATCACTTCAATTTCAGAACACGTTAAATGTATTTCATAGTAGATTACATACCGAGCTGCGAAGTGGTTCATTACCTACGCAGAGGGATTAAGGTACATACATCACCGACTCGCGAAGCGTTGGTTATGAACCACAGACCATCGAGGTTTGTATACTATTGTAAGAACCATATTTTAGGATAGTCCTTGATAACGAAAAAGTAAAATGTCAACGCAATCCCTATTTGATAAATGTGGCAAGCTGGCTGGTCAAGTATGCGCGATTCTGCACATATGGGTGCAAGGGTCTTGGCAGTTAAGTTGCGTACGCGCTCTGCTCACGATCGTAAGGGATGCTAAGTAGAGCATCGGAAGTACTAGTGAGTTTGCGGTAATAGCCTTTAATGTGAGTGTCTCCCACGTGTAGGTGGTGAGTGTATTGTGCAGGCCATCGTGCTGGTCGTGCTTTGTTGTTGGGCTATGGTAAAACCCCTGGTAGATATCCGGATATATTCCTAGGCTTTTAGAGTGCATTATGCGCATGTGCCTATGACGCGGTCCCGCGGGTAGCTCCCGTTGATTATACCGCTGAGTAATCTACTCGCTCGAGTAGATCATGATGTCGACCCAATACGACAAATAAAGGCCCCATTGTTAACAAAAAGAGTTCGGGGGTGAGCTTGACCTGGATGTCGTTCCCAGGTAGAGCAATGAGCGACATAGATCGACGTTACTGATCTATTGGCCGAGGGTCCTGATCAGAGGGCCGAGGCGGGATGTGTATCCTAAATAATACACGTGCGCGCGGCGTAACCCTTTCCCAAATAGGTATGAGCTCCATCTTAACCCTTCAGGAAGTCATCCTCAACGACGCATTCAACCCCAATCGCTAACCGGAGTGCTCCAGGAGAGCTTAGGGCCAGCTCGGAGCTAACGCCCTCCGGTGATTTACTTAATTAATTAGCGAGGATCGGGGTTAAGCAGTCGCGATATTTGTTCACATGACTGAATACTGCCATTCCAACCCCTTATGCGTAGATTACATATAAGGACGTTTCTAATGAAAGGTGAGTTTACAGTAGATTTGTCGCATCTTAATAATGAGTTCTGACCAACAATTAGCTCCCATTTAATTAGCGATTTCCCTTGTTGTTATATAAAATACTCCCCATTACACTATTTACATTATTCACAATCTGTCTTAAATAGATAATACTGTGCGATCAAAAATGAGTTGCTGTCGAGTCACCTTTGGAACTTTTGTTTACATGGGAAATCGTATTTAACTTGAACTTCCAAAGGCGACTCGACAGCAACTCATTTTTGATCGCCCATTATTATAACAAATTCCACCAGTGTCAGCGTAACATTGAAATCTAGTCGACATTGGCGTGCAAGTCGGGAAGTACTTTACCGATCTCGACGAGGTTCGCAAAAGATGTTAAACAATTGCTCACTTCCAAACTTCAAAACAGTTGGCAATTGACGTATTAGGTACATATATGCTTGTGAATAAACACCAAATCGTCCGATCGCTCGGTCGCTCGCTCATTGGCTTAATCTCCGTCGATTTAAAAGAGAACGGATGGATCGATTACGATGAAATAAGATACCTATTTAAATAAAATTTGTAGACACCTCGAATAAAAGTACCTCGTTTTAGTTTTCGCATATTCAAATAAACAGAAAACTGGACCTTCATATGTTCTTTGTAACAAGAATTATAAAAGAAACCCTTTTTTGGAGGTTTGGGCAGTTTTTGGGCTGTAACTGTTTGGCCCGTTAGTATACGTAGCCGAAAAACAATTGGGACCTTTCTTATGTCCTGAAGAACCGGACAGGCAGACGGACAAACAGACGGACGGACAGGCAGACGGACAGACAGACAGCAATAACAAAATTATAAACGATCTTGAGGATCGTTAATAATACTCGTAAAAGGCGCTTTTAAAAGGTATGTTGTATCCCTTTTAAAAATCTTTAATTTATTCCTGACTGCTGAGGGTAAGCAATGCTCCTTCGTACTCAACGCGGTCTATACTCTATAATACATCCTTAGACTAATACATACATACAATACGTATAAACTACATACCAAATGCAATGCAGTAATGAAACAGAGAAATGTGCCAAGTATTAAAAATAATTTTGGGTACATTTTGTTCTAAAACTTTTCACCTATACCACAGAGAAGAGTTCTATTGAATTGCTACACATCTAAGAGTCATAGGTAATAATCTACCAAAAGTCCGAACTCGATACACGATCTAGGGAATTATGTTGATTTCTATTATATTGAGCGCGCAGTTTTTCCTGCTCCCGATTCACTCAAAGTCCTATAACTTTTGTTTCTGTTGAACCAGCTTCGTGAAAATCAATAGCGTCCCTCCTTAATGTCCAAAGTACCCGTACACCAAATTTAAACACAATCCGACACTTTTAAAAAGAGTTAGAGCGCACACGGACGCACGGACGACAATACAAAACTATAAAGGATCTGAGGATCTCAGGGAGGATCCTTAATAATTCTGAAATCGTCCGACCAATTGGAACTGGAAGCAGCAGGTATAAGCTACCTATTGTTGAAAAGAGAATAAAAATATCTGTCCACTGTTGAGTTCTCGTGTTAGTTCCGGTCGAGGTTCCGGTCTTCCGGTCGGACAAACAAGTAAACCGAGTATGATTTCGTATAGAAGTTTTTCATCATAAAATCTTTCGCTTTTTGATAAGGAACATTATTGTTTTATAATAACCGTTTTCTATCATCGGATCCCGAAGAAAGTCTTGTGTCCGAAACTAGAATTATTCTTTTTAAATTGTACTAGCCGCGCATCGGAAAAGTCGCACCGGCCGCCGGAATTCGGGGCTCGTGTAAAAATTTCGTAAAAATCCAATTTACCGAAGGAAAGTTATCGACGAAAACGTCTGGAACTGGTTTGTAATGTATTGTAATTATTATAATAACATTGAAATGGAACGGAAACGATTTTTGGTTGGCATTTTCCTCGTACCAATACTGAAGTGGAATTTTTGAATTGTTTTTCTGGAATTGAATTGTATTTTTATACGTACCTATTTGCATAAAACATTACATCCTGCGGAAATTTGCATAATTATTAACTATCCCAAAACTTTATTCTTGTGGCGTCGTTATGGTGATCATATATACCTACTCAGGTACGGGAAAAATGTATTGCCAATTTTAATCATTTTCTCTAATCGCCTATTCTGTTGCTCAAAGCCATTTTCAGACGAATTTACTTATCCTGCAATATGTTGAGTGTAAGTAACTGTGTAACACATTTTCAGCATGGAGTAAATGGAGAAATCGTTTCTGCTGTCGTGTATTGCAGTTGAAAGCGTTGGCTTTATTAAAATACTCTTGATGCGCAAGATATAGTCATATAGTCATTCCACAAGGAAACGCGAATGCTGCATCATACTCGAAACTTATCAAATTCTTGAAAAAGATTTCAAAAGGTACACTATTTTTGTCAAACGCCGTATTTAAATGAGATATTATATACCCAACTCAAAATTAAAATTAATCAAGAATCACAACGATATGTTCTTCGAAATTACTATATAATCGCACTCAAATGGAGAATTGTATCAATCGATGGAACAATTTGGGCCTTTTTTTAATGAAAAGTACGCATTACATAACGGGCGATCAAAAATGAGTTGCTGTCGAGTCGCCTTCAAGTTGAGTTCAAGTTAAGTACGATTTCCCATGTAAACCAAAGTTCCAAAGGTGACCCGACAGCAACTCATTTTTGATCGCACAGTATCTTCCGCATAGATGGAAACTAATGCACAAAAATATAGGTGTACAAAATTCGCGAACCGCGATTGTACATGTTGGATTTCTAGATATTCAGAAAATGGGTTTTAAAATAAGGGTGGTGGAGATAAACATGGGAATTTAGCCGATGAGCATTATATAAATTAATAATGAATCACAAATCGTTCCCTTCCACGAAATTTTTCCGGAAGTCCCCTCTTTGAACGAACCTCGGATTTGACAAGTCTACTGCAGGAAATAATGCGTCCAATTTTCGGTACCTTATTGTTTCCAGATTTTTAACTTGTGTTAATTTATATTTAGGGATTTAATTGTACATATTGGATCTTAAAGTAGGTATAGGTATTTCTAAATAGGACCACAATTTAAATTACTGTTAATTAAAAGAATTGTCACCTGTATGTGTGATTTAAAGCTGCTGCGAAAATGTTAAACACTCCGGAAATCCATACCAAAGCGACGCACTCGCGAACTCCGCTACGCAATCAATTCACGCACCGATGGTAAATGAAGGCGCCAAGAATTGCTACTAACCGCGGAAGTATCACTGGTGACACGCGTTTTTAGTTTTTTTTTTTATTGCGGTAGTACTTAAGACCACATGTTTCTTACTGATGATGATGGCATACCACGATTGCGTATGGGAAACAGCTTTAGATGACAATCACTGAAATCAGAATTGTCTTACGTAAGTAGTTCGCAATGTCTAATAAGAACGGGCCACTGACATTAAAATGAACTGAAGATACGGAACGAATGGATTACATTATAATATCGAGCAATTATTTTGTTCTATTTCTATATTAGCCAGCCTTGGATATAAATTAGTTAACATTTAATTAAGATTATTTTTATTATGCGAGTTTGAAATCGATCTAGGATAGATAAAACAATCACTCAACGATAAAACATATTGCTATTTTTTTGATACCTATAAATTGAGCATCACGTAAGGAGCAGAATTAATGAATTTAGGCAATTTGGACACTGTGCTATGTGCGCTATGTGTGTGCATGTTACTGCCTTGTACACCAGTAACAAAATTTAGACAAAATGGAACCACGAATCAAAACTTTTACTTTGCTGTGCTTCGTTTCTGCCTAGCCTTTGGCAAAACCTCAATATGCGCCTCAGGCTATGTGCATGAAACGGAAGCACAATTCATAAACTACGGAGTGTTATTTACCTGAAATTAGAATAAAAGATACTAGTCTAGTGATTGTTCTATTACGACATAGCTCGATCTCTGAGGATACTTTTTGTTCTGAAATTTTGAAAAGAAATATCTTAAAGTAATGGTTTCGGTGAGACACAATATCTCCGTCCGCCTGAGTCATTAAAGGTTCGTATTTATATGGCAAACGAACTCGACCGAATGGGTTGGTCCGAATATTCCCAAATTATTTCTGCCCACATGCCTCCGAATGACTGATTTCTCATGCACTTGTTTATTTTAGCGGGTGTATGCAGTATAGGTATAGCTATTGTGAATACTATGGGAAGCCGTGCACACTAGAAAATAATCCCGAACGAATTTTTCGCGAATTTTCTTGGATTTATCGGCTGGTGACCGAAATCTAGAGAATGCCAACATAAGTTACCATTGAGAAGAAATATAGAATAAGAAAGTTGACAATGGGCAGTGTGCGCATGCGCACATCTGATTTTTAAAATTTTTGATATACCTGTCTTTACTAGAAGCATCTGTGGTCAAAATTTCTAAAAAATATCTCCAAAAATAAGAACGAAGGCATTGCGCAGTTTGCGCATGCGCATATTAATCGTCAAGATTCTTCTTAGTTGAGGTGCCACAGCTATAAGCTACCGAATGCAAATCTTGAACACTGTAGGAGTAAACGCCTCGGACGGACGGACGAAGTGTATCGTTTGTATTAATAAAAGTTTTATGATGAACTCGTAAAGACATTTCAACGAATTGTACAACCTTCCAAAACGTATAGTGCAAATCGAGCGATAAGAAGATATTTCAAAAATTATTAGGGGTTAGTCTGCAGTACCTAAGTGTCTGTTCGGTCTAAGACTACGTCCGGTTGCCGTAAAGAATGTTGCTCCGAGTTTATCAGAAGTTCCAATTTTTTTGGGCATTGATTTCAAACGTTATTTTCTCGCGAGTTTTCAGAAAATCTCACAAATAAAATGCGGTGAAAGCAATTGGAAGCAGAAGAAACTTCTTTGGTTTAGCCGAACGAATATTGTGCGTCGTCAAGTAATTATCTGAATTTAAGCGAAAAGAAATTACTTGCGTTAATAAAAAAAGAAATGAATTTGTAACTGAATTTCCGTGTTTAGTTGTGGGAATAAAATACAACTGTTACCGGTCTAGGACAAATCGCTTAAACGTGCCGGCGCGGCGAGGCGTCTTGTTTATTTTTAGCCACAACAGAATATATTTTACAACCAATCAGCCAATCCAGCGTGAATTTGGGATTGGCATTCCTACTCAGAATTCGTAACAAAAATAAACCGATACAACGAAATATCGAAGGATCCTCAGTATTACAATAACTTTTAACGATAATTTATTTTAATGTTACAAAATACATCAAATTCATGTCTTGGCCATTGAGATAATGCTCTTAATCTTGTTTTGATCAAAATCCATGTGGTCGCCAAAAATAGATCAAATTCATGTTTTGATCATTGAGATAATGCTCTTGGTCTTTTTCCCAACGTTCTTGGTGCATAAATAACGATTTTGACATGTTCTGATCAAAATTCATGTGGTCGCCAAAAATAGATCAAATTCATGTTTTGGTCATTGAGATGATGCTCTTAGTCTTTTTCCCAACGATGTTGGTGCATAAATAACGATTTTGACATGTTTTGATCAAAATCCATGTGGTCGCCAGAAATGCATCAAATTTATGTCTTGAGCATTGAGATAATGCCCCTAGTCTTTTTCTCGACGATCTTGGTGCATAAATAACGATTTTGATTATTTTGATCAAAACCCATATGGCAATAATTTAACATTTTTGAATCACACACATGCGGTTATCAAATGTGCACGTGATGTACTCTTGCTGCATCAAGATAATGCGTTTGAAACCTTTTAAAACTCTAAATTCATGTATAAAGTGTAATTTTTGCTACATTTTGCTCTAAAACTTTCGACCTATACCACAGAGAAGAGTTATATTAAACACATCTAAGAGTCATAGGGAATAATCTAGCGGAAGTCCCAACCCGATACATGACCTAGGGAATGAAATATGTTGATTTCTATTATATTGAGCCCGTAGTTTTTCCTGTTCCCGATTCACTCGAAGTCCTATAACTTTTGTTCCTATTGAACCAGCTTCCTGAAAATCAATAGCGTCCGTCCTTAATGTCCAAAGAACCCGTACACCAAATTTCAACTCAATCGGCCACTTTTAAAAAGAGTTAGAGCGCACACGGACGGACGGACGGACGGACGACAATACAAAACTATAAAGGATCTGAGGATCCTTAATAAACTGAATTTAAACACACGTATCCTTCACAAAACTTTTAAAGTCTACGATTTTGCCCAGTAGGAATTTCTCGTCGATCGGTTAATTTTGCTTGTATGCAATGTATATGTTACCGGCAAACTGCGAAATCCGGCATTTTGCAAAATCCCTAGGCATTTTGCGAAATGGCCAATGCAGCAGGCAAAGTGATAAATGGAACTCGAGTTCGCACTTCTCCTGCCTCTCTTTAGGGATTTCGCAAAATGCCTCAACGTTCAGGCAAAGTGAGAATGCTCGGATATTTTCCACAGATTGTGCGTACGGGAGTGCCAAACGTAAAACCGTCGCGTTAGTACTTTCCCCCATCTGATATATTCTCCACAGTAAATCCAAAGCTTGACTCAACAGAAAACTTATAGATGAAATGCAGTCTAAACGGGAGCGCAATATTTAGCGAGTACCTACTTAAATAAAATCGCAATCGTCGTGTCGTTTACCATCCAATGGTAACGCTGTATGCGCAATCTGTGGGAAATGACGAAGCCTCGCACTTTGCCTGCATGTTTAGGCATTTCGCGAAATCCCTAAAGAGAGGCAGGCAAAGTGCGTTTCTCACTTTGCCTGTTGCATTCGTCATTTCGCGAAATGCCTAGGCATTTTGCAAAATGTCGGATTTTTCAGTTTGCCGGTAACATATATACATTGGAAGTTAACGAAAAACTTCAAGGTAACAACTCCTTGACAAATTCGTAGAAGAAAAGGTATCCGACGGAAAGAACTACTTTACAGTTCGTAACTTTCTCTAATTTTACAAAGCATTCTATTAGCCAGGAATAACCGGCCGTAACCCGTTTTATGCCAACATTTTCATCGATATGCATGCAAAAATTAACTAGCAAAATATTTCTCCTCTTAACGTTTAAACTACTGGTAAACACGGAACAGGAATGCGCAATTAACTGGTTTCGTCGGTTTTAATGTCTTTTTATCGCCAAACAATGAAAACGGCAAATCAGATATCGTTGTTGCGACAAGTATGATGTCATCTCGAGAGCAATGCGTATGCGTTTAATACTTAAAGCTTGAAGACTTCCTCGGGGTTCTCCCGACTTCCTCTGACTTCTTCGGTATTCTCCCTGACTTCCCCCAACTTCCTCTGAATTCCTCCTGACCTCCCGGTCTTCCTCCCGACTTCCCCTGCCGTGTACAAGAGATTTCCTCTGCGGTCAACCCATCGTTATAGTATTATAGTTTTACTGATTTTATATTGATTACAAACAGTAATAAAACATTACAAAAAATTAATAATGTGTGTTTAGTTCATGAAAAATGTTGCCGTATATTGTTATTATACAGGGTGATTCCTATAGTACCTGCCACCGTTTGGGAGCGTATAGGGGGTGCCTAGGGGAGTATTTTGATATAGGACACTTGGGGTCGGAAATCTAAAATAAGGGCGCCAGAACCAAATTTATCTTCTGGAATTTCACGCCTGTATGTAGGCAACCCAACCGACCGACGTTTCGCGCGGAGCGATGCAGAGCGAGTTAGCGCGAGGAAGCGACATGGGAGGGAAGGAGGGAAAACGACAGTCAAAAGCAATAACGTTTACAAGTGTTCAACGTGGCCACCGTTGTTCTCAATGCACTTCCTACATCTAGCCAACTATTATTATACTATTGCCATAGTGTTTATTCACTTGATACGCGTCGTTGCAGACGGGATTTCGTGGGTTTAAACAAAATTCTGATCAAGTGTCAGCCACACATCGCCGCCTGAGATCGCTCCGTGTGCACCGCCGGCCGGTTGGGTTGCCTACCTACAGGCGCGAAATTCCAGAAGGTAAATTTGGCTCTGGCACCCTTATTTTAGATTTCCGACCCCAAGTGTCCTATATCAAAATACTCCCCTACGCACCACCTACACGCTCCCAAACGGTGGCAGGTACTATAGGAATCACCCTGTATTTGAACATAGTTCAAAAGACCGTGGTCGCGAAAAAAATTATAAAAAATCCCAAGGAAAGTTGTCAATAGAAAACCTGTGAAAAGGAATGTAAACTATAGATTTTATTCATTATAGTGGTGTTTAATTTTGCGAGCAAGCAATTTGGAAAAGCAGGTTGAAGTCAATTTTTAGAAAAAAAAAGA